TTGAATTTGTGTTGTTAGAACTGGATGGGTAGGGGATTTAAGGAAAAGAACAACTTAATTAGTCTTTTAAATGATCTTCTCTCATGGCATGATCTGAAAGAGACAAGGAACCTGATTTTTGTTTAATGGCAGCAATTTCTGAGTCAGCTGAGACTGAGTGTGTCCTGAAAACAGTGTGACACTGAGCACAGAGGTAAGGGCAAGGTGGTTTGCACTGGCCACACCGAGAAAGCAGGACTCTTTCGGGACATGAGGTCCATCCTTGCTGCAGTTTTTCTCCATGTTTTAGGCTGTACTGGTGACATTTCTTAAGTGTAAATGAACTTTCTGGTTCTTTTCTAATTACTGGAAAAAATACCAATGAAATGAAGGTGCACTGATTACTCTGGCCTTCAAATTCACTAAAAGGACACAGTAGGCTCACTGGGGCTGCAAAGTGCCGCCCAGCCACGGTGCTGGAGCCGGCTCCCAGGAACACCCCACAAACTGCTGCTACCAAATTATTTTCCATCCCCATTTTTAAAGCCCGGTTGGACATTTTGCAAATGGGAGCTAGTTCCCTTGCCAACCTCAAAAGCATCTGAAAAACTCCCCACAATTGTAGGCCCAATTAGAGGTCCACCCAGTGGGCTTAAAGTACACACACAAGTGGACTTTGGGAGACTTAGAAACACGCTGGGATAAGGGCCACATTGCAGGCCATTACATTCACAGCACCACGTCCTACCAACAGAGCTTTTGATGTGTCCTTCCAAGACAAAATGTGGCTCCAACTAGGTTGTAAGTATTAATGTGAATCCGAGCTCCTCAATGAGGCGGTATGACATCCTATGGTCTGCCCTCAACTCCTTTTCCCAGCCTCTTCTCCACTCATTCTGGTCCCTGTACATTCCAGTGACAAGGTGCCCTGAGCAGGACTGCCATGGCACATGCTGTTGCCTTCCTTCTCTCTCCAGTGAACTCCTATTCATCCTATAAAGCCCGATTTTAAAGATTCAAAAGATTTTCTCCCATCCTGAAAATTTATTAATGGACTGTCATTCCTCTCAGGGAAAATACCCAAATCTTCTCCCAAACCCACATATGCATGATCAGGTTCTTGTCTACACCACAGGCCCTATCTTTCAGTACGTGTCTTCTGACTATTCTTGAGCCTCGGTGACCTTCTTTCTGATCTTTAGATGTCTGTGTGTGATGATTAGTCCTGGGCATGCAAGGAGCTACGGGAAGCTAGAATCACAGAAGCCAGAGAGTACCCTTCCAAAGTGGCTGCCACAATGAGTTTAAGTGCAAGAAGCAGAGAGTGGGTGGGTGGGTGGAGGGGAGGGCCACAAATATTTTCAAACTGATTCTTGCATTTGACTCAAACATGCCATGCTCCCAGCACCTATCTCAGAACAACCCTGCAAGGTAGGTATCACTAGTTTTATGGGTAAGAAAGTAAAAGCTCAGGGAAGTTAGGAATTCCACTGGGTCCACACAGCTGGTAAGTGGCAGGGATGGGATTTAGATTTGACAGACTCAAAATTTTCGGTGTCCAAAACATAAACTATATTTTTATTTCATCTGTGGAGGGCCACTTAAGAAAGAATATAGCAGGTGATTAGCGAAGGGCACACAGAACTCCTGTGACTTTTTGGTTCCAGGGTTGTCAGATGCGTCAGAAGGTAAAGGGTTTATAGTGTTTGTACTAATACACATCAGCTCCTGCATTTTTCTAGACATGTCATCACATCAACAAAATGATCAGCTAGCCATGGGGACAGTGAGTCACAGCGAAAGGAGAGATGCTTTGAACACATGGGGTGAGGCTGATTTTTGTTGGGTGACTTTGGATAAGCTTCTTCACCTCTCAGAGGCTCAGTTTTTTATCTACAGGCTGTGACAAATAGCACTTTCTGATATGACTGTAAACATCCCATGTACGTAAAGAGTCTCCTTGCAACACTGGCTCTTAAAGTACCCACCAGGAAATGACATAAGACACTTTTCACATTTAATTGGCCAAAGCAAGTCATGAGTATACCTAACTGCAAGAAAGACTGGTCCTAGCATCTACCTGGGAAGAGGACAGAAACACTTAGCAAATACCCTAGTAGTCATTCTTTCTCCCACATTCTTATAGAATAAACATATGCTTTGGTTTAATGTTTAAAAAACACTTTAACAAAATAGCTTTTAAATAAATTGTAATCAGACACGATATGAGAGCCGCTGTATATGATGTGACAATTTGATCTTCAGATGTGGCCCAGGAGACTGGAAAAGGAAATGCCTCATAGAGATGCATTGCAGGTCCGCAGACCACCCATCCTACCCTCCAACAGTGGCCTATGCAGCATCTTCCCAGAGTGATTTCAGAATTGTTATGGACCAGAGAGAGACTGCTGTATTCTTCAAGTTTTTCCTCTTTTTTAGTGCAAGTGTTTTTTAGTTATTCTATCTCATTTCACTGTTTCATTGTGTGTGTGTGTGCATGTGTAGAGGATGATAGTTATGGTTGTGAAAAAATAATTCTATTAGTGTCTATCCAAATCAAGTGAAGCCACATTTGTGCCAGGTATACAGCCTCCCGTGCATCTCACCCTGATGAAGAAATCAGCAGGAATCGCTCAGACAGCCTGGACATTGAGCTGGGAGCCAGTAACAGGTGGGACTTTTGGGTTGTCTCATTTAGGGAAGAGTGGTTATGTTTTTTTAATGTGCTAATGGCAGTCAAACAAATATCTGTTGACTAGGTAGACAGTTTGTGGTGTTCATCAGTGTTGTTCATAAAATGTTCAGTTTTTCTTCCAGTCACATTGCAGATTTCACTTCCCTGTCCTTAAGTATGGCCACACATGAGATGCTCTGGCCAATAAAATGTGAGTAAAAACAACTGGTGTCACTTGTAGGTGAAAACTTTAAGAGCTTGTACACCATTCATCATGCTTTCTTTTTTCTTCTTTCTCTGTCTGTATCCAGTGATGTGCCTGCTCTGTCTGCCTGGGATGCAGACTGAAGTAAAAGCAGAGAAGAGCCTCCACTAATTTTCAGTGAATATGAAGCAAGAATTATTTTAAGTACCTGAGAATTGGGGCGTGCTTGTCACTGCAGTACAACTTAGCCTATTTTGATTCAAAGAGATCATATTATTTCTTTATGAAATCACTTTTCATTTGAGTGGGGTTGTTTCCCTACCCAGTGAGCATGAAACTACTCAGCAGTGGTAGTGGCTGGCCTTGTAGAACTGGGGATAGGTATCCATTGCAGGATAGGGTGATAGGAATCGGCACGTGCTCTTTGAGGGCCTCTAAGCAAAGTCAAGATAAGGTTCATGGTGAGGATATGAGTAGGACCCTCTGATATTATAGGAAGTATCCACGCTATGTTCCAAAATATCTGCAGGTTTGCTGTGGTGTTGGTCGGGGCACTGAGCCACACCAGAGGGCCACTGCTTTAGTGCAACTGTGTTCCGTGACTAATGAGTCCTGTGAAACCTCTAAATCAATGCCTTGCTATATTAATTAGTTTCATGGACTCTTGCCAGATGACACAGTCTCTGTTTCCTGATATCCCAGGGAATTCTGCCATACTGATGAAACTCTCATCAAGTTCTGCTGAAATGTTTTTTTTTTCTTAAATAACACAGAAATGTGCTATTTTTTAAATTTTTTATTTATTTATCTTTAGAGGGGAAGGGAAGGAGAGAGGGAGAGAAACATCAATGTATGGTTGCCTTTCGTACGTCCCCTGCTGGGAACTGGCCTGCAGGGAACTGGTCTGCAACCCAGGCATGTGCCCTGACTGGGAATCGAACCGCGATTGTCTGGTTCGCAGGCCCGCGCTCAATCCACTGAGCTACACCAGCCAGGCTACTGAAATGTTTAATGAACTTTTTATTGCCATGTGACATGTCAGACATCACGTAGGTGACCTCAGCTCAGGAATGCATTTTCTTCCCTTGCCTCATTCATGCTTTATTTCCCTCCTGAATATTGTATCCCTACTGCTCCCTGGGCTGTGCTGAGTGCACTTACTTCCATTTTCTCATACATGGAATGGTCTAGAAGTCACTCTTTGTCCCAGAGAGGCCTATGTCTCCTCTAGTTCACCCATTGTTTGCTGGTCCTCTGAAGGCATATTCTAACACCATAGTCCACCTCTCCCTTCAGTCTTCCATGGCGAATGGTCACAGTCACAAATCTCAGTAACTAATCTGCCGCCAATCTGAGTCATCTCAGAGCACTAATCTGCCTATTTGGGGCGTGTCTTCCTTCTCCTCTGATCTCTCATTGGTACTTCAACACACCATAGCCCTTAAGGGAGCAAAAACAGAGTTCAATGGATCTCAGTGAAAGACAGAATGGTTACACGCCTGTTCCTTAGAGAGCTGATTTCCTGATTCCAAACAGGAGATTAGCCTGGGTTTGTGTATTAGAGGAAAGGAAGTGAGGAGAAAGCAGAGAGCTTTGAGTGGGAAGGCAACAAAGAGCCTCTGTCCTTAGTGAGCAGGAAAGGGGCTTAGAGTAGCCTCCCACGGCTTCATGCCTCTAAGAAATCTATCTCCCACAGCCTTGCACATTTGTGAGTTCCTAGAACAGAGGGTTGGGGGCTTGGACAACTTGTGTGGGGGTAAAGGAAGGTCTTTGGCTCCTGCCCAACATGGCACTTAACAGAGCCAACTGGCCATTTTGATACAGGATTCTATATTCAGCCTCTTCTCATTCACAGCTTCAGTCTGAAACTGGGTGAGGGTCCAGAATGATAAAAGGCATCAGTAACTCTGAGGCAACCATGGAACCGCTCATGTTGATCTAAAATCAAAATCTTGTTTCCAGCCAAGTTTTGTATTATTACACAAGCTTAGCGTCTGAATAAATCCTTATTTTTATAAGTCCTGTTTTATTAGTAAGTGACAGTAAATTTTCTTGATCAATTCCGACATCATTTGCGTTTCCCTTTTCTCTATCAGTACCTTTTCATGGACTGTACACAGATGGGGTTTGTTTTGGGGTTACCTTGCCAACATGCGCCAACCGTAAGTTGCATGGCTATGTGAGACGGATGAATGGGCCAGTCGTTGGTCACCAGGTATGGTTCATATGTTGCTCCATCCATGTATAAGGTAACCACAGGAAACTCCACATTGATGACATAGTAATGCCACTCTTTGTCACAAATCTAATGAAAAGAAAGAGAAGCAACACTTAAAGTTGAATAGGCAATGAAACATCAAACAAGCTTTTATTCTAATTATGAAAGGGGAAGAAGGCATTTTTGGGTGAGCAATTTTTATTGGAAAGAACCCAATCAACATAATGATTGGTATATGCTGAGTTTATAGAAGCTCATATCAGACAGGATGGGGCAAATGATGTGGGTAGAGGAATGCCCAAGGATCCGATCATCAGGCAAACATATGACTGTGGCAGGTCATCTTAATCACATAATTACCAGCCGTATAGGCCAGCAAGCTGTTGGTGGACAGGTGAGGGTATCAGCTTAACTTTGTTTTGTATAAAAGTTTTTTTTAGTTCTTTAGTAGAGAAAAAGTTAAATTGGAATTATTTTTCTAAGTTTGGGAATAGAGGGAGCTATAAGAAGAAAGAAGCTAGATCAAAAGTAGAAATGAAGATGAAGATAGAGAAGGGGAGGCAGAAGGAACAAAAAAAGAAGAAAATGGAAGAGGAAAGAATTAGGAGTTAAAGAGGAGTGAGAGAGAGGCAATGAACAGGAGAAGAGGAAGGGACATGAGATGCAGAACAATAGGAGCCCTCCAATCCCTTTGTCTTTGTCTCTACAGTAAGGCTTGCTTGTAGAGCTGTTGTAATCTCATGCTCTGTTAGAGTCAAGCAAAATGAATTCCAAGAGAGATAGTCTTTCTGCCTTGGAGTACCTGGGGAGGCAGAGAAGAACCAAAAATAGGCCCCCCTGGTCTGGACTTGGTGCAGAACACTCTTACATGCATGTCCTCTCACATTTTATTCCTGAGACTTATGGTCTTAGGGCTGGGAACCAAAACTTAACCCTAATAGATGGGTAGGGACATTGGAGACCAGGAGGGAGTCACAATTCCTGACTTCAAGGGACTAAACTCCCATGGCATGATCCAAAATAGAAATCAAGACTGGGTGTCTTGGGAAGGGGGATAGAAAGCATAAAAGGAAGAAAGGCTGAAGAATGATGCTCCCCTCCCTCCAATCCCCTCAGTGAGTGCCTTGGGAGTCATGTTAGACTCTCTCTCCTCCACACTCCCTCTCCCTGTAATCCCTCTGCATCCTGTGAAATTCCCCTCTGAAATGTCTCTCATCTGTATCTTCTTGTCTCTATGGCCCCTGCCATCTGTGACAGCAGAGACAGATGAGTTCTGCATGAAGGTGACCCCAAGGTGAGGGCATCAAAGCCCTCCCTACATCCCACATTGGATTGAATGTGCTGTTTCTCATGAATAGATAACACCAACAGGGATGCTAAATGATCTTTTCCCTTTCATTTTGCAATAAGAAATTTTTCCTTAATGTTCTTTTTATATTGTCCTGTCTCATGTCTCAGAAAATTGCTCCTTTTGAAGCCCATTAGTCTGATAAAGCCTGATGAATATTTTAGGGGCCCATGGAAGATAAGCAGAAGAGGCCCAGGCAGATGTCTCCAAAGTCCTGTGACAATGCACTGGTTCTACGACTCAGTGCCTGTTACACCTCATCAGAGGCCCTAACCCAATTTACACTTCCCTCCTGCTCAGTGCCTGAGACCAGATACTGGGCTGGGAGCAGGGCTCACAGGCTGGGCCTGTGTGGCTGCAGTGGAGTTGATCCAGGGGGGTAGATGTGGCAGAAAAGAAGAGCTGGAGCCACAGTCTAGGAGTGATGGAAGAGGGAGGAACTAGGAAGAGTATGTAAATGAGGAAGCATCCAACCCAAGGAAGCCCAATGCACCCTGGTTATGAAGTCTGCAATCAGCAGCCATACAGCATATTCCAGAACCTGGAATGGTTCATATCCTGGGGATTTTCTCTGAGGCATCAGGAACCCTCTGGTCAGGCTTAGAGCACAGAGGGACCCTGACCACACCCCATGTCCTTTGAAATGTAGGCAATCCTTGAGAGTCAGCCAGGCAGCCCTGGGATTCTCCCTCATCCTGGTCGCCATCACCACTCACACAGGACGCATCCTCTGGAGTGTGACTGCCTTGTTAGATCCACATGCCAGCTGCCTCTGCTATATTCCAAGTCCGCTGAAGCGGGTTGGAGGGAGATCCTATAGCTTGCTTTCTTTCAAAACACTTATAACATTTTGGTAGGACGGTACAAAAAATTCCATGGGAGAAGTAAAATAGTTCCATAGCTCAACAGGAGCCATGACTCCTCTCAACATCATAGTCTTTCCTAGGCAGCCCCCTCCCCAACTTTTCTGAAGGGCGAGGAGCAGGCCCCATGGTGGCCTTTGTAAAAACAGTGACCTTGTACACCCAGCTTCGTTGTTTTTTTAACTTAAAATTTCATTAGCATATCCATGACTCCCAGCAGCCTCAGTGTACATGTCTATAATAACATTCCAACCTTGCTGGAAAATGGACCTTTTCTATTTATAGCATTCCTGAAAATATCCTGTGAAACAACAGCTCGGAAAGGTCTGCTTGGATCACACTGTGCATACAATTTAAAAGTGTGCTGGTTTCGCTTAATGTCAGCACTAAAATGCCTTTACCAGCTTCATTTTAGACAGCTGTATAATATGGACAAACTATAAAATACTTAAACATTCCCCAATTATCAGGTATTCATAGGTACCTGCAATTATAAATGATGCTGTAATGAATTTCTTTGTGCACAGATATCTGTCTGCATTTCTGATTATATCCATGGGAAAGATTCCTGGAAGTGGAATTACGGGGTCAAAGGTTAGAGGTATTTTGAAGGCCCTTGATACATATTGTTTTGGTTTTCTCCTGCAAAGGGATGTGCCAATTTAGACTCCTGCCCTGAGTGCTGGAGAATGCTCATGCATTGTACCCTTACTGACCACATTAGCACTGAGAAAGGATAAACTCCTGAAGCAAGATTTATAGTACCCAAGGTCAAAAGGGAACACCTTCTGTGAATGGGGAGGAAGACTCAAGAGGTATGAATGATTAGAAACTTTCCTAGTTAGCTTCTAATTGGATATCCAACAGGCTTTTAGCTCAGACTAGGTTTATGCCTGCAGACTTCTCACACCAAGTAATCTATGAAGGCACCTAAAGGAAATGCCTAATTAGGGCTTCATAAATGGGGATCTGTGATCAAGGAGAAACCTGCATTAACCCTCTGCTAGAACTGCAGGGACAAACTGTAGTTGAAAAATGACCAAGCCAGGAGGAAGCAAAAATAAATGTGTTGATGTATAGCTCAACCAAGAAAGAAGGGAATTAGGCAAAGTGACCTTTCCTGGGGGAAAAGAAACACTTTAATTCCCAACTGTTTGTGAATCACTGGAGAATGCACACACACCAAGCATGTCCAATGTCATCCCTGATGTTGGAAGCCTCAGCACTCTGTTCTCTGAAAACTTGCAGGTGTATTCCTGAGGTGGGCGTGGCAGCTGCTGCTCAGCTGGTGAGTGAATCTAAGACCAGTGACCCAAGGACAGAGGTTGAGGAATCACATAACAGGGACAATGTCAAAGGCAGTCTGAGTTGGGAGTAAGCTGGCACTCCGGGATGAGTCCAGGGCCAGGGAAGCCTTGCCAAAGAGGGGAGAAGCAGGCCAGGCAGCTGAGGGGTTGGCCCAAATGTCCTTTAAATGCCACACTGGAAGTTCCAAGTTGGTTCTCCCAGTAAACCGGGTACTTCTGAATGCAGCTACTCCAGGTGCCATGCACTTAACTACCGTGTGCTAGGGAGTGTGCTAGGGGCTGCACAGGATGCAGTGCTTGTCAGATATGTGCTTTGCCTTCATAAGCTTCAGTCTAATGGTACCAAGTACATGAAAGACCCAAATGTAATGGGGACTGAGGTAAGAGTTCTGGACTTGGTGTAAAGTGCTGTGAGATTCCAGGGAGGGGAGAGATGACTTCTGGCTGGGAGAAGGTAGTATCTAGGGTGGATAAGGGAGGGGTGATAAGATTTCATTAGGAATAGACAGCAAGGGAAAAAAATCCAGATAAATGGAGCAGAAACTTTTTATTCCATTAATTATTTATCTCTCTTTTCTGTTGCCAAAGAAAGTACTAGGTTTAGGGCAAGTAGCAGTTCACTCATTCATTTGCTTCTGCAGACATTTACTGAATATATAACCTGCATTGTGAACGAAAGAAAGCACTTGCCTTTTTGGAGCTTCCAGTCCAGTCACAGAACTGACAAAACTCTTTTTGTGATTCATGCACAGATTTTGCAAGGTGCCAGGTTAACCTGGTGGAGGAGGGGTGTCTGCTTGCATTGAGAGGAGGAAAGGGGCAAACACACAGAGCTTGGAGGGATGAGGCCACAAGAACAGACTTAGAAATGAGGCCTGAGGACATGGACTATTTTTATTTTGTAGGCAACAGGAGGTCCGGGCATTTCTGGGAGGGAGGTGGAGGGTGGTAGTCATAACAACAATTAATCTTGGAACACGTTTTTCCATTTTGAAGCAGCTTTTTAGATTCCTATACTATTTAATCCTTGCTGCATAAGGGTGGCGGTTGTGTCTTGGGCCCCTTTAGAAAATAAATAGGAGAAAATGGCATGGTTTCTAATCTCAAGGAATTTATAGCAGTAAATGTAACACACACACATACACACACAGTGTGCCTTTCCATTTCACACACTACCAGTGGCTCAGCTTCTCACACTCCCTGCCAAATCAGGATCTTCAGCAGAGTCTGTTCTCTGGAGTGAGGAACTTGTATGTCAGATTGTCCCTGAATGGCCCCACTTTATGTTCCACAGGTACTTCACACTCATTCTGTCCAAAATTGAGCTGAACACCCTCCGTGCTCCAGCCTCACCTGCTGCTTCTCCTGTATTCCCCCTCAGCAAACGCTTCCTCTTCTGGTCAGGCATCCAAGCCAGAAAACACTGGGCATTGCTTTGGATTCCCCAACTCCTCTCCCTCTGCTTAATTTACTGCCAAGATCCGATGATGCTTCTTTCATCCACTGTCACCTCTCCACCCTCACTCAAAATTTGTGCCAAGGAGGGTGAGCTTGAGAAAGTGTGTCTGG